TAAATAAATAGTACGTTTCAATATCTACATGCAACAGGATAAAATAAATGTTATTTTTGGTTATAGAATTTATATGGCTGCTCAACTTGAACATTGCTACTCTGGACAATTCACAACAAACCAAAGGAAATCAAACAAAAAACCCCAAACAACCATTAATAGGTAGCTGGGGCTCATCTTCATACCCCTCCTGCAGATGGGAATTCTATTCATCCTGGCCCCAATGTCTAAAGAAATAACCAGATTTTTTTAGCCTATCCAAAGACCACAAGGTCAGAGCCAATCATATGTCATGGGGAGGTTGTTTCAAAGTTGTTTGACCATTACAAAGAAGGCATGTTTCCTGGGCCTGATGGAATGGCAGTTTTATGAAATGGATTCATACTCTATCCCAGAGGTGTCCAACCTTGGGGAATTCTGGGAGTTGAAATCCACTCGGCCCAAATATGGGAAAGAGAAGTCTTTTGCCTGTATCAGCTCAACCTAAATACAATTTTGCCTGTATCAGCTCAACCTAGATACAATTTTGGAACACATATGATGTCGCAGTTAAGCGACTGCTGCCTGTGGATGGCTCTAGGTTGAGCTGATACAGGCAAAAGACTTCTCTTTCCCATATTTGGGCCGACAGGGTGCTCTAAAAGAAAAAAGCATTCATCCTCTTCCCCTGTCTCTTGTAGCTAATAAAGTGAGAAAGAGCCTGTGGCCTAGTGGCTAACATCTCTGCTTAGCATGCAGACAGCCCAGGTTCGAATCTCAGAAGGGTATGTCTGGCTGATGAAAACCAAATAAGGTTTGAAATAGCTATCCCAGTTCTTACTGGGAGTCCTTTTTATATTGCTGGACGGCTCTGCGCCCGGCTTCTCGATCTAGTCATCGGTCTGTCCGTTTTCTCTACTTGGTTTGTTCTTAAAGGGCACGCGTCTCTTGCTGTGTTGGTATCTTCCGAGGTTACTATTTTCTTTTTCCTGGGCTCAATCACTTTCTTTCTGCTAGCATATGCCGGTTGCTTTCGCTCGCTTACACTTATCCCCTTTTTTGGTTCTATTCTGGGGTCCATCTGATCTTTCTTAATGGGGTTGTGCGTGTGTGTGCTCGGGGGAGGGGGTATATTGAGTGGATCCGGGCATCTATCAGGGTAGTCTCTGATGGATACGCTCCTACGTGTGTTCTCCCACTCAGGAGCGTTGCCTTCTTCCGTGAACCTCCAGAAATATTGTATTATGCTCTGATGATGTCGGCAGTGTTGGCCGACGAAAGCTTAGCTTTAGCTTTTGTTTAAACAGTTTTTGTTTTAATATTATCCTGGTGCTCGGACTATTTTATTTCTACTATATGGATTTACCCAGGATTCGCATTTTTGGTATAATTAGGGAATAATAAGGCTACAATTTGTCATGGACCCTATGGAAGAGGACAGCACAGAAAGACATGAACCAATGTTACTACTCTACTTGACCCACATGGTGAAAGATTTTATTGAGGGACAGTTGTTATATCTACTCTAAAGAACTGATGAACAGTGTTTGGGCAAATTTTTGTAGTAGTTTGGGAGTGTAAATTGTGTGAAAGATCATATCTCCTAGTGATGATTTAACTAAATTGCACAATCAGAGATTTTACTTTGATATTCCTGAATATCTGTATTACTACAGGTAGTCCACAACTTACAGCAATTTATTTAGTAACCATTCGAAGTTACAACGGCACTGGAGAATGTGACTAATGACCATTTTTCACACTTCTGACCACTGCAGCATCCCCATGATCACATGATTGCTGGACAACTGACTCACATTTATGACAGCTGCAGTGTCCTGGGGTCATGTGGTCATCTTTTGCAACCTTCTGACAAGCAAAGTCAATGAGGAAATCAGATTCACTTAACAACTGTGTTACTAATTTAACAACTGCAGTGATTTAGTTAACAAACGTGACAAGAAAAGTCATAAAATGGAGCAAAACTCACTTAACAAATTTCTCACTTAGCAACTTAGATTTGGGGCTCAATTGTGGTCATAAGTCGAGGACTACCTATCCTGATTCAGAGTCTGTCTTGTTTACTTGTAACCCATTCTCATCAGAATTTGGGGAACTATAGTGATGATATAAAAAGACAAGAGATTGGAAAGACATGATATCTGCACTGGAGATAAAAATGAATGAATGAATAAATAAATAAAGCAAAAGAAATAAGGGGGGAGCTGTGATTAAAGCAAGTAAATTGGGAGAAATAGGTACTGTTCAATTCCAATGTTCCTTAGTCTTCAAGGTGAATCATGTTTCAGTTGGGAAAAATAGAATAAATGATATAAAAATAAATCTGCAGCCTGGATAAATGAGAAGATAATAAGTAGCGATTTTAACTGATTTCAAGACTCCAAGGCTACATAAACTATAACCCAGATGCTGAAAGAGTTAGTGACAATTATGTAAGAGTCACTGTTTACTGTCTTTGTGATTTTTTAGCAATATCTGAGATGTTGAAAAAGCAAGGAACAGGCTAAAAATAGGAAAGGCAGATCTGGAAAAAACATTAATTTACAAAATTTTAAAGTAAAGATATAAAGACTTTATATAAAAAAAACCATACAATTATGTTATTATCTATCAAATTCTATTGAACAGAATTTATGCTATTAACTTTCAGGTTTTTTTTTTGTGATGTAGACTACCAGATCTAAGGCTGCAATAGCTGAAGAATGATAGAGGAGGGGTGTTTCTCTGGATTCTGATGTTTTCTTAAAATTATGTTAAACCCATATTCTAACATTTCTGTTTATTTTTTACTTTACTTTCAGCATGAAACCTAGGGGATAATGTAAGCCTTTGGAGCTGCAGATTTCTCAGAAGTAATCCATTGCTCACCCATATGGACATGAATAACACATATTAGCTTTCTTCTTTTCATCCCAAATTTCTCTGCACTTAGCCATAATGAACAAACTCAGCTCCAGTTACTAATAATATGAAGACAAAGAAAAGCCCTTTGTATCCATTTTCCCCCTGCTGTGTGTATTTTTACGTTCCTTCTTTCTGAACTTGAAAAATTCTAAAAAGCATAGTGTCTCCTGGCTTTCAGTTGTAATTTCTCTATAGTCTTTAAACATCTGGGGCAGCTGTTTTCTAGCCGTATTGTTTCAATTAATAAAAGAAGAAAAACACTCTTGTTGTTTAGTAGTGAAATTATACCAAGTTATAACTGTCATAAATTAGATAAGTTAATGAGAGCCACAAAAGTATTAATTTTTCTGTTCTTGTTGATCCCAGAGTTTTTAACACAAATACATGAAAAAAGACCTATTGGATCAACAAAAAGATCCATCCATTCTAGTTGGATGTATTCCACATTCTGCAGCCTGATTCTATTAGGAAGCCTAAAATCTGACACAAACAAAAGATTTTTCTCAATATTGTTTTACAACAAACTGACATTTAGTGGGCATTTTACCACTGATGTTTAGATTCCAGGATCAATATGACTTGTAGATGGTTTAAACATTAAATGTGAATTCATGGAGGAAGCATTAGCTAGTGAAACTCATGCTAATAATAAACTCAATATTGCAATATTCAGTATTGTTCTATGCCAACTCGGTTATAATCTACTTCCTACTTCCTTCTATTGTGACAAAAAATTTCCATCAATTTTTTACAGTTTGCATAATTTTGTGAATTTCTAATTAAATCATGATGTCTTGAATCAAATGATAAAAATAGTTTTGATGCATTAAACTTTCTAAATAAGAAGGTGATATAATCCTTTAATCATTTCAATTACTCTTTTCTTTTCTATATGGTAGTAAAACTTACTACAGATATGTGAGCTACATGAGATGTCCTTCCACCCCCACTCAATACCTGAGAAATGCTTAAAATGCCCTTGTAAAAAACATTCCCAGCAAGCTGAATTGACCTTAAGTGGCAATGGGGGAAGAATCAGTCAGGTCAAAATTATTTATATATTCCTATAAATATATATTCATGTATGTATGTACTGTATGTGTGTGTGTATGTATGTGTGTGTGTGTGTATGTATGTATGTTTGTATGTATGGGTTTGTGTATATATATGTATGTATATACATACACACTCACATTCATTGACCATATCTCAAGATAGTATAGCTGCTGTACTAACCTAATAGGAAGGGGTGAATAATAAGGTTTACCTAAAACACTCCAATAGTATTCTGTAATTTACACTCTGTCTGCTTTGTTCTTTGACTCAGCGTTGCCCATCAAATTGCAAATGTTTTGCTGGAAGGCAAGGGGCACACTGTTTTATTGTCTGCATCCCAGTACAATTATGTTGTATCTTCAAAGTGATTTGGTTGCTTTAGGTGAGCCAAGTTTTGGCTACAGCATTGCAAGTTTTTTCCCCCCCAGAAGTACAATAGTGTTTGGACAAACAAAACTGTTTTCAGCCCTAACGCAATTATATCCTCATTTGGGCTTGCTAAGGGAGAAAGGAAGTGACAATCTTGACAAATTCCCATGAAAACCAATAGCAAAGCTTTCATTCTGCTCCTTTATTTAATTCAAGAGTGTTTATTTTTAAAAACAAGATAGCCAAACCCATGCCTTGCATTAAATGAAAGCTAAGCATTTTCTTATCAGCATACATGTTATACTAATAACATACACAAAAAAGGCTTTGAAGTACTCAAGAATATCACTTGAGAGAATAACTTATATAAGATAATGTACCAATAGACAGAAAATTAGTAAGTAGACTAGAGATGCTAACTTTATCTGTACATGAAGTCCCAGTGAAACAATATGATCTATCTGCAAATAAAAATGGTTCAGACTGAGCTGTTAAAATTTTCCATGCCTACAAGAAGCTCCTGACTACAGTCTATTCAGTTTTTTAAATTTTGAAAATAAGATTCATCCATCCAAAGGAAGAATATTAAGATCACCAACATGTGCAATTCACAACTTTTGTTTCATTATAATATAATATATTGGTAATGGTACAGTAATGTGTACACTCACCGCTTGACATATAATTGGATATTTTACACGATTTATTCCACCAGCAAAAACAGCAAAAGTGAGAGCAGTATGGAAACAGAAGTTGAGAAGCATGTGCCAACCTTTTCTGCTGATTCGAATTGTGCTATTTAAAGTTAACAAAAAAAAAAAAAAATCCAAAGTCACATATTTATTTACAAATAACATCACAGAATTGTGAACAATAAACATATAGCCAGGGACTCAAACTCAGGATCCTTAGTGCTCGATTTGTTTCAGAAAGGGCTGAATCAGAATGGTAATTCTGCTTAAATACAACTTGCTTCTCTCAAGAAAGTACTCTAGCATTGCAGGATCCCAATTTGTGCTATTACAGTTGTTACAATTACTGTATTTACTACTCTGACTCTTGCCTATATTGACCTCTGGACATCCGTTAAAACTGTGCAACTTACCTGTCTGATCATGATTCAAATGCAAATTAGGGTAAATCATTTGTTTAACGAGGGACTTCAAGAACTAGTTGATTGGTGCATTCATGTTCTTTGTCTTTGTTATTTTAGCATACCATTAGTCTATTCAATGAGTAAACAAACCAGAGCTTGAAGCAACTTTTAAGAGGTTGTTATGCAAATGCGCTCTTGGAAAATACACTGTCTAGAGAATAACAATTCTATTCTCTAGTAATTTCTACATGAAAGAAAAGTAATTTCTACACGAAGCTTAATTAAGACAAAAGTCTGTACTGTATTTATTTTGCAATACATTTTGGATCCACTCTCCCTCCAAAAATCAGAAGGTGTCTGAAAGCATATTTCAGACTAACACATTTTATTAAAAGGCATAAATATAAATTGCTAGTTTGATGAAGTGCTATCAGGCTTCTCCTGAACGGTGGCTCACAGAGTAACATGGCTGTCTGCCTACTTTTCCTTCAAGGATCTCCAGGCAGGGGGCTGCTTAAGCAGCTCTGAACCTGAAGCTATTCTCAGAGTTCCAATTGGATGAATCTTTATTAACAGCCTTCTCCAACCTGTGTCTTCCAGGTGCATTGAACTACAATCTCCTAATCTCCAACCAGAGCACCTTCTGAAGATTATGTGAATTACAATCTAACAGATATAGAATGTGCCAGGTTGGGGAGGGATGATTGTAGTGTTGTCTGGATTAAACAGTAGATGAAAGAAGAATATTTTGCAGATCACGTTGGCATACTAAGAGAAATGAAAAGAGAGTTGTTGGTATTGCACACAGACCATCAGGGTAATGTATGAATTGAACGTTATTCAAGCCAAAAGCCATTGGAGGAAAAACATAACGAACGTATTTATAGCAAGAGAAAATGCATGCTATATATGGGCTTTCATGCATGAGAAGAGTGTGCAACCAATAAGGTGTAGATAAAATCAGATACAGTACATCAAGCATCAGTTTCTTCTCATTCAGATTTTCATAGATCAGTCACAATGCCAATTACTTGATCACATGAAATTATATTCATGTGCAACTAATAAAATTCAGGCATTCTTCTTTATGATGGAGAGTCTGCATATCTGAGAAAATGTATATAGAAAGTCACAAATGAGAACTCTTCGCAACATTATCCCTATTTGCACTAGAAGAAAAATATTTCTGTAGCAGATCAGATTCAGACATTGTGCTAAGCCAGTGAGGGCGAACCTTTTAGAGACCGATTGCCCAGACTGCAACCCAAAACCCTCTTAGGTATCGTCGGGTGCCAGGTGGGCGTGGCCCATTGGGTGGGTGTGGCCAATTGGGTGGGCATGGCCCATTGGGTGGGTGTGGGTGTGGTGGTAACGGCAGACTGGGTGGGACTAAAAAGTTCAATCAACCAATTCCAACTTTGCGAGATCTTTTTTTTCCCGTGTGAAGTTGAAATTGATTGATTGATTGATTGAACCTTTTTTTTAAAGTGAAAAGGTTTTATAAAACCCAGCTGAAGTCCTAGGACTGGGACGATGGCGCGCGTGCCCACAGAGAGGGCTCTGCGTGCTACCTGTGGCACGCGTACCATAGATTCGCCACCACGGTGCTAAGCCATCATTTGACCTGTTCAGCTAGTCCAACTTCTGAACCATGCTTTGTCCTAGGACAATGCATGAATCCAACCAATTACAAATAGCAAATAGCAAATGAGCCTGTCTTATTGAGAATTGTAAACCTAAATGTACGTGAATGATCGGATAGAAGAGATGTGGGCAGAGGAAACAGACAAGAAATATTAACTCTTTAATTCTCTTCTTCTAACTATCACAGCCACTCCTGGCCCCACTTGCTTTTGAAAAAAAATGTTCTAGGGATAGTATTTTGGAGAGAAAGAAGAGTAAAAGAAATGATTGTTGCTATTTTTTAAAGTGTTTAGAATAAAAGAAATCCAGATACTGTGAAAGTAGCTCATATTCAAGTACCCCCAAGAAAAATCTATGGAAATCTTTCCCATCTTTACTTTCTTTGACAGAAGAGGCAGATAAGCAGAATAGAAATATTAATTTATATAAACCAATCACTGAGCCCTGTCAAACTGGAGAAGAAACTTCAGATATAATTATATGTACGACAAACATAACAGGGGAATTCAGCCTCCATTTGCAACAGCAAAACATTTCTACTAATGGTCAGAACATTTGCAATAGTGGAAGGTGGAATCAGCTCCAACCTCTCTCTCTCTCTCTCTCTCTCTCTCTCTCTCTCTCTCTCTCTCTCTGTGTGTGTGTGTGTGTGTGTGTGTGTGTGTGTGAAGGAGGGAGAAAAAGAACATCCACATGAAAACAAACTTTGGATGGCTCTAAATGGTATTTGAAGTGCCTTGATGTCCTCAGTCTTTCCCATACACATACCTCTTCTGCACTGGATTAAGAGACTTATTTATGAAAGTGATGAATGGGGAAACTGCATATAAATATGAAACCCTGTTTATCAAATTTCTTCCAAAAATTGGACTGGGCAAGGGGAGAGAAGTATAATAGTGTAATACACTTTTTTATGTTGTAAAAGAAAAAAAAAGTGGGTGAATCCACTTAATGTTAATAATCTGCATCTTTCTTCTTACCCGTGATGCACAATATAGGTGATAATTGAAGCAAAGAGGCACAATAACATGACCGCAGTACATGCATAAACCACAGGGTGCAGGAACTCCCCTGGGTACTGGGATAGGGGCCACACCGTCTTCTGATCCTGTCAAAGAAGGAAAATGAAAGAAATTAATCAGTACAATATTTGCCTCCTACATCGAGTAACACTAGCTTTTCACTATCAACTATCTTCATCTACACTAGGGATTTCCATCCTCGTTAACTTTAAGACTTGTGGATTTCAACTCCCAGAATTCCTCAGAAAGCATGTCAGGCTGGGGAATTCAGAGAGTTGAAGTTCAAAGTTCTTAAAGTTGCTGAAGTTGGACACCCTGATCTACACATTTCTGGTTTTGTGTTAGGGGTTATGCAGTTAAAGAGGAATCCTAAATGTTGCCTCCGAAATGTTGTGCACACGCTTGCTTCTCCTTGCGCTAGTGGGGATGTGTTTGCACATGCACGTACTTGCCTGCCATTTCTGCAGCCCAGCTGTAGACAGATCATGGCCTATTGGGTGGGCCGCGGCACAGAGGTTGGAGACCTCTGGTCGAAATGATAAAAAATATCAAAATAACTCAGCAAAAAGCTGTCAACATTTACAAAGTAACCATTTATTAATAATTGCAATTAGACATGAAATGAACACCGTAATAACTAAGTAAATGTTACTTTGTGCTACTTTCCATGGGCTACTAGCTTCACTATTCTACTTTTACATGGTACAGCTAATATAACTACTAGTTCTTTGTAGAGAAATGGACATTTCAAAGATCTCTCCTTAGTTTTAGCTTTAAAAATATAAAACTTCCTTCCTGAAAAAAAAAATAACTGGTAGATTTTAGTAGCCAACTAAATAAATTTTTTCATATGTGGCAGGTTGGCTGGAAACCAATTTTACTTAATGGGGGATCTTGAAGAGAGAAAGTAACCTAGGACTCATATAGTTGAGATTTCTTATTTATTAGAACCAAATAGGCGAAAGATCTATTTATTATCTACAGGATTGGCTGTAAATAGTTCTAGTCATAGAATGTATAGTAAATGGTTTTAAAAAAAGAAGACAGCTGCTCTTCCTTACTAAAGTTAATTCCTCACTAACATTCATGAGCAGGTTGTTGTGCCTGGCTGACCTTCTGAGAAACTAAACAAGATCAGATCTAGTTATGCTTGGATGGGAAACTACTACAGAATACTTTGGCTTTAAGCTAGAGTAGAAAGTTAAAAGAAAGTCCCAGAAGGCAGATGCAAACTACTTGTGTATCATTGTCAACAAAACTTTATTCATTCAGGAGCTGAGCACAACCTGAGGCATTTTTACTTTTTAATCTATTAATGTGATTGCGGGTGACAGAAAAAGTAAAGGGAGAAAAATTAGCAACTCTGATTGAGTTGTCCTTGTGCTACTTTCCTACTTCACTCTCCCCCCCCAAAAAAAATTAGCAAAAGTATGACACAGAAAAAGGCAAAGAAAATTATATCATTGTCTGAATAATTCCTTTCTAAATTGACACCAAGGAGCAATTTCTAAAGGACCGTGGAGATAACAATGACTACTGTCCATAGAAGAATCCAAGATACCATTTGTCTGAAATGGTATAGGGTTTCCTGCCTGAGCAGGGGGCTGGACTAGATGATTCCAAAGTCCCTTCCAACATCATCATCATCATCATCATCATCATTACTACTACTACTACTACTACTACTACTACTACTACTATACATAGCTGGGATTGAGCAACAGAGTCCACCTACCATCAAAGATGCCAGCAAAAGGAACATTCTTGCTTTAATGCAATTTTTATAAAGAGTGAACCATTTTAATAATAGCCCTGCAAGTATAACTTCCAAGATAGTCCTTACCAGAGCAAAATTGGAGCAGCTAGAGTTTATGATCACATAGGGATAATTCCATCAAATGCCATATCTTGAGGGAACATGTGTTTGTCACATTTCAGAAATAGAAGACATTG